TGTTAACTCGCCAGATCCTGCGTCGTTGCATCACCTGCCGTAAGAGGAACGAAGCTCCCATGAAACAGATGATGGGTGACCTTCCTATAGCTAGCTAGGCTTACTCCATACGAGCCTCCCTTTACCTACACCGGTTTGGACTTTTTTGGTCCGTTTTATGTCAAACGTGGTTGTGGCACCGAGAAAGTGTATGGTTGCATTTTCGTGTGTTTCACTACAAGGGCAATCCATATTGAAGATGTTGGATCACTGGAGGCAGACGATTTCATCCAAGCCTTGCGTCGCTTTATTTGTACTCGTGGTGCTGCCAAGGAGATATGGAGTGACAATGGGACCAACTTCGTTGGTGGAGAAAAGGAGATAAGATTGGCTATTCAGGGATGGAATCAGAAGGCAATAATCGAAGCTTTGCACGAAAGGGGAGTAGAATGGCATTCACAACCATTGAAGAAGTGGCACTTTCAACCTCCTACTGCTAGCCACATGTCAGGAGTGTGGGAAAGACTGATCAGAAGCGTTCGCAAGACCATGAAGGCCATTATTGGGCATCCGCACGCCTTTGTCAAGCGCGAGACGCTGCGCACAGTGTTCGCAGAAGCAGCTGGTATTCTCAACAGCCGACCTCTTTGTCCAAGCAGCGAAGATCCGAACGATTGTGAACCAATCACGCCAAGTCATTTCTTACAACAACGGCAAGGTCTCGCAGTACCTCCTGGTTTATTTCAAGACACAGAAATCCATTCTCGAAAGCAGTGGCGCAGAGGACAAGTTCTGGCCAACCACTTCTGGGCGCGGTGGATTCGTGAATATCTTCCCATTTTGCAAGAAAGAAAGAAGTGGATGACGAAGAAACCAAATTTGAGAGTGAATGATCTGGTGCTTTTGGTGGATACAACTCAGCCTCGAGGACATTGGCATCTTGGACGAGTAACCAAGGTCTTCTTCGGAGCGGATGGTTTGGTACGTACGGCAGAAGTAAAGACAAAGATATCGACTTTGGTGAGACCAATTTCTAAGTTGTGCTTATTAGAGGAAGCACTTTAAACAGTAGAACCATAACTCTTATATATATATATTTGAACGTTTCATAGCGACCGTTTCAACGGGGGGACTATGTTGAGGCTAGCTCAACACTTCCGGTCAGTGATCGAAGTTTAGCGAGTTTCCGGTGAACATCCGGGGTTTTCGACGAACATAAAACGTTTTGTTGTTTTGTTTCGAAGGATTATATTTGGACTTTAATAGTAAAAAACTAGCTTTAATACGGGATTATCGACATTCGGTAAGACATTTAAAGTTTGATTATGTATTTCTGTCCTTTATGTGAGCATTTTGTCATGTGAGAACTGTAAATTGTTTGTAAATTTACGTATATATTTAGTGTATTTTATGTATTTTCATATTTTTGTTAGAATAAAACAAAGTCAGACAGAAACGTCAATTGTCACATTCGGGTCGATACAAAATAACAAGCAAAGAAAGCGTATAGGGTCAAAGCACCTATACACCATATATTAAATATAAAAAGTAAGCGTTATTAAATCTTGGGGCATAAATTAGAACATGTGGAACTGATACCAGTAATTCTTCAAGTTTAGATTCAATAAAGTAACATTCTTACCACATTAGAAATGACTGCAAATTATGCAGAATTATGTTATGCATGCTTTGTAAAAAAATGCGACTGTAAATTTGTAATAGTTAGTTGTGATATATTTGGGTTAATAAAAAATAAATCATATAAAAGAAGCAGAAAGAAGCCCCAGTTATGACAATGACGATTTTTATAACGCCACAGTACAATAATGAGTAAACCGTGGAAATCGAGTTAAAAACACAGACTTTATATTTTCAAGTTATGATTTACATAAAAGAAAAAAGCTGTCTATTTAATTAATTAATTTCCTAGTACGATCTATTGATACTTTTCTGTCAAAAAATAACGAAGTGTACCAGAGGAAATGTTTTTGTAACTTGGAGCAAGGCCATAGTCCCAATTGCTTGTTTTTCTAAAAACTGTTTGCATAAACAAAACATTACAGCTTAAACCTGTTTTTCACTTCAGTCATATCGTAATGTACTATAGAGGCTTTTCCTTTTGTTGAGGTCACTAGTTATACAATACAGACTACCAAAGAAACGGCCGCTACATTTCGGCGCGATATAGAGTAGAAGTGGAAAACAAGTTTTAGTTTTCGAAGACTGAAAAATACTTTTTAACTTGACTCATGCACAGTAACATCGCGGTCAAAAGTCTAACGCATGCGCAACACTACGAAATAGGCAGGGAGAATGTCTGCCGAAATAATAGGAGTAAATACGAGAAAAGAGAGCATTTGCATGCTATAAGGAAACGGCTAAAAATATAAGATCAGGAATTTTATCGCTTTTCTCTTGTGACAAAAAGTTATACTGAGTTGACACGCTCCCGTAATTTTCTTTGCATTTTTTGCTAGAGCTTCGTGAAAACAATACTATTTCCAGGTCTTTGAATACGAACGTTTGACCGCGGTGTTATGTGCATTATAGCAACGTCAAACTGACGTATGGGCAACAGTTCAATCCGAACATGGTCCGAAAAAGCTTTCAAGAATCCAACAGGGCAAATATATGGATCAGTTTACTTAAAAACATTGTACTGTAAACCACACGAAATATCATGACCATGTCGAAGGACCGCGAGAGTGATTTACTTGGACAAAGGCTGCACTATATATGGTCTTTGCTCTAATTATACGTCGACTTTTACGAACAGTTGCTATATACTGTATCTTACTATTTCACTGCTTATGAGAGAATAATGCGTGCATGGTATATATATTTGTTGGTGATTCAGCTGGATTTGAAAATTTCTGATCATAATGTAACTGATATACCGGAACATAATGGTAATGGTGTCTTTCACAAGCTAGTTGCAGTTCGTTTATGTTGAAATCTCGAAGATATGCGTGGAATACCAACAATGAACATGGTTACTTGAATACGTCGTACTGCATGCAGTAAAGCAGAAGGAAATTAATGAGCACGTCGAAATATCGTGAGTCGTTTAGATAAACAAAAATTGTATAGTGTTGACATCGTCTATACGCCTTGACCAATAGTTCCTGTATCGTGCCATTTTACAACGGATGTGGTAATGACATGCGTGATATAGCCTATATTTGTTGAATGATATGCAAAATAATGGATTTTAATTAAAACTTCTGATCACATTGTGACTGATATACGGGGAAAATGCTAATGTACTTTCGACAAGCCAGTTGCAGTTGATAAGAAAATTCGATGATTTGTGAAAGCCAAACATTATAACCAGACCACTTTTAAAAAACGTTGTGTTGTAAAGCCACAAGTAATATCTGCACTACCATCTCGAAAGACCGTGTTGCCATTGTTGAAATTATTCGCGTTTTATGAATTGTTCCTGTACCTTCGGTTGAATCCAGCACATATGATGCGAGAGTTTGTATACATTCGTATACGTGTAGCGTAATGCGCGATATATATTTGTTGAAAATACAAGTGGATAATTAACGTCGCAACGTGAAATAGCTACGTGTGAGGAATGTTTTTTCTTTCCACAAGCTATATATGGTACTTGGTGTATATTTTCCGACAATCGCGGTGCATAACAAGATTAAACAATATATTAACTATTACAGTAAAGTTATTTAAACCAAAGAATAAAATCCAAAGTGGACTTGTTTAATGAAAGGAGCAATATAAAGATGACAAATGGTCGGTTGGCTGAATACAAACAGTAAACTATACGTTCCGCAATTATGGTGAAAGGCGTAAAGATTTGAAACAGATTTCGCGCTGGAAAAGAAGTTCGAGAAAATCCAGAGTCGTGCAACCTAGGAACGGCTTGAACTATACTACTTGACTTGGTCTCACTTACGATCGCCAGACTACAGATTTGGTGTTCCTGTATGTAAACCAGTGAACAGTTATATTATGTTGACATTTACAGAAATTAATGCTTACAAGTATATGCATTTGGTAAATCTTGGTTGGAGTAAATATTTGGCAAGAACATTTTCTCGAAGTAGCACTCATGCACAAGTCATCGTGTGGTTAAATTTTGGAACATGGATGTACTCTGCCTGCAGACGATGTATTATTTGTATTTCATACAATTTAAAAAAAACAAACAAGAACGAGGACTGAAGAATAATTACCTTTAGATACTTAGAATTAGTAATACTGTTTGTAGATTGGAATTATCGTTGTAAAGATTTTTCAAGAATGACTAATAAACCGTTATTGTATATTCAGAAAAAGCCGTAGCCATGCACATCGTTTCTGGTAGGAAATATCAGGAACGCATAAGGCCGTAGCGGAACCCGATGTCACAGTTGATTGCGAAGGGGACAGAATACCCGAGGAAGACATTATCCGCGACGTGGATATAGGTGTCCAGCAAGACAGTGAAAGGTAGTTGGTACTGTCCGGGGAGACACAATACGCTAGCGGATAGTTTCCTGAGGACCCTCTTTC